GGGGGGGGGGGGGGGCAAGAAGCATCTGGAAATTTCTCAAGAAGCGATCAATAGCGCCAGTGGGTGTTTCAAGCAAAGGAGGCCATTTCAACGTTTGATAAATAAATAAATTCCAGCTCACCACAGATCAAAATGGGTTCTCTTCCACCTCCAGGGCAAGAAGATCCTTGAATGTGATCTTGGGGGGGGGGGGGGTAAGGTTTGGCTTTAATTGCTTCTCTTCGTTTTTTTTTTTCATGTTCCAAAGGTATGTTTTGTTTTATTTTTAATTCCTCGTTTTCAAGTTTCTTGAAATTGTCAATTGCCCAGAGACACTTTTGTGAATTGGGCATCAATCTAATACACAAACAAATAAATCTATTTTCGAAGGATTGTTTCATGGGCTGTAAATGAGGTGATAAAGGGACTTTGTAATGTGATAAATCCGATTAATATACAGAAAAGTAGATGTAGATGCTTATTGTTATTATTCTTAGGCACCACCGCGAAGAGACAGCCTGGCAAAGATGTCCACAAGTGGACCAAAAGAAAAGCCATTATCAAAGAAAGAAAATGGCCGATGATATTCTTCCAAGAGCTAAAGAGTCAGGGCTAGTCTTTTGTGAACTCCATAAGATTCACATATTGTTCAATTACATTCTAAGCCGTTAATCCAGCAGCAATCTCTGAATGACCTTATTACGGGAAACTACCTGCATCCCCAAAATAAGACATCACTGGGGGGGGGGGGGAAAGCACAGCAATGCCTATCAGCAAGAGATATTAAGCATAATTAGTTTTAGTTGATTGAGTGAGGAGTGAGGAGGCCTCGAGGGTTCAGCTGTCCCATCATGGAAGCCTCATCCTGACCTGCCCAACTCAGAACAAGAATTGCGTGGATGGTGTAGAGTCAGGTATATTCCCACGTTGTACTGTTTTGTGTAACCCTTGCAAGCAATTTACAGTACTTGATGGATTGTAAAGGGATGAAAGAAAGAATCAACAACAGATGTGCAATATTTAGAGCTGCACAAAACACCAGTCTGGAAGGCCCATTAAGACTAGCTGAAGAAAACAACATTTTTAATGAATTTGTTCCTCTTGGATAATCTTTTCTTTTTTTTTTTCACATTTCTCACCAGCTGTTTCTGCAGACCTCAGGTAATATGATGGCAGCGACTATCATTAATACATTAAAAAGGTAAAGGTAAAGGTTCCCCTCACACATATGTGTTAGTCGTTCCTGACTCTAGGAGGTGGTGCTCACCTCCATTTCAAAGCCGAAGAGCCAGCGCTGTCCGAAGACATCTCTGTGGTCATGTGACTGGCATGAATCAACCAAGGTAGTCCCTATTTTTCTACTTGGATTTTTACATGCTTTCGAACTGCTAGGTTGGCAGAAGCTGGGACAAGTAATGGGAGCTTACTCCGTTACGCAGTGCTAGGGATTTGAACTACTGAACTGCCAACTTTTCTGATTGACAAGTTCAGTATTTTAGCCAGTGAGACACTGTGTCCCTAACATTAATCATTACACTTATCATTACCATTAATTCTTTACATTTGCGTTATTTGTTTCTGTCTGTCAGAATTGCCTTCTACAATTTGAATCAGAGAATGCGTGAATAGGAAGAACCAGCCATTGAATAGTCAATAGAGATGCTCACTTAAGACCTTCCCAACATGTCATCACCCATCACTCCAATGGGAACCCAACATTGCTCAAATAATTTTACTGCTTAGTAGCTCTTACCATCAAGGATGGTAAGGGTTCAGCCTGAATCATCTTTCTTTTTAATGTCAGCCTGCTAGTTGTTCTCCTGCTTTTGGCCAGAGATGAATGTCAGAGGTATTCATGGACAGTCAAGAAAGCCATGATCTCCAAGAGCACATGTTGGCGGTTCTGCACATTTTTTTACATGTGTTGCACGCACAATGCATGTAAAAATGAGAGGTGCTTCTACTGCATTGTTATGGGCACTATATGGAGTTTTTGACACAAACACTCAAGATTTCTGGTTTGAGTACTTTATAACTCACAATCTTTTTACATATTATCATGTACAGTGATGTCTTTACAACTTAGCACTTCTCTTAGGTTTGCTGCTGTCCTCCAATCCTGACTTGTAGTAGCCGATATATAGACCACATCTAGGAATGCATCTTTGTCTTGATAACTCCATTATAACCAACCTTATTTTCCTGGGGTTTTTTTTAGCGTCAGTAAGGAAGATGGAAGAAAGGACTCTTATGCCTCCAGCTTCTTCACCCTAACCTTCACCTTGTAATACTCTGAAGTATTTGCTCTCTTCTAACCATGTCATTTGTCTCCTGATGGACAGAAGCAATCAGTCAGTCTGATGAACTTGTTCAATCTTTACCCTCAAGTTCGGACTATCCACACCAGGCAACTTCTCACGGTATCTTGATTAGTCTAGAGCAGGGGTGTCAAACTTGATTTCATTGAGGGCTGCATCAGGGTTGTATTTGTCCGGGGGCGGGGCGTGGCCAGCTTGACATCACTCTTGTCAGATGGGGTGGGGCATCTGTGGTGGACTGAGCACTCTGCCAGCAAAAACGGGCTCCCATGCTCCATTTTCCACCATGATGGCCTCCTGCAGCCCTCTACCAGTGAATATGGAGCTCGGGGTAGACGTTGCTTTTCACTGGCAGAGAGCTACAGGAGGCTGTTGTAGCTGAAAACAGTGTTTGGGAGGGCCGTGCATGACCCTCCTGAGCTTCATTTTCACTAGGCAGAGGCACTGCACGCCGTTCGTTTGCTGTTTCCAGGGTGGCCTTGCAGGCCAGATCTAAGCAACCCGTGGGCCAGATCCAGCCCCCGGGCCTTGAGTTTGATACAACTGCTCTACTCCTCACAGTACTCAAGCCTCCCCTACTAATAGCAATAGCATTTAAATACTGCTTCACAGTGCTTTACAGCCCTCTCTAAGCAGTTTATAAGTCAGCTTCTTGCCCCCAACAACGTGGGTCCTCATTTTATTGATCTCAGAATACTGAGTCAACCTTGAGCAAGTGAGAATCAAGCTGCTGAACTGCTGCCAGTCAGCAGTCCACAGAATTAGCCTGCAATACTGCACTCAAACCACTGCACCACCGTGGCTCTTCTCAATACTCTCCTCTACTTCCTCAAAAGAGAACGTTCTAGGTTGTTTAATTGGGGGGGGGGGGCGGCAAGAGAATCTTAGCAGAATTCTTCAAGTTCTGGAACTATTATAGGTATGGGATAAACAAATTACCTCGAGTTTATTTTTCAGAGCTTCATACTAGTTTATCCCCACTAAGGGCATAGACCTTCTTAGCTTTTTTTTACTCTTTTTTGTCATAGACGTTTAAATATTCATTCTTCTCCTCTTTCTCCTTTGGGTTCTCTTTCCTGTCTCCTTTGCTCTTGAACATCCCGGCTCTTCTTTTTTGGGAGGTCTCATCCCAGTAACTTTCATGCAGAACATTCTACATGCTATTTATTAACTAATAAAAGGAGAATATTTGTAGCTCAGGGTTGAAAGGAGGAGTCCTTGGTGCTTTCTGAGCTTGCTTGTTTTATTGCAGACTTTCCATTACTCTAACTAGGTAACATCATCAGTGCTAGTAAGGATGGGGTTTGCTCCCAGCGCTCCTTACTTGCACTGATGATGTTACCTAGTTAGAGTAATGAAATGGCTGCAAGAAAACAAGGAAGCTCAGAGAGCACCAAGGACCTTATTTGTGAACTTTTTGCTTTCCCTGAGAAGACTTAAAGTTGGAAGACTGACCTACAGGATTGGCCCTTCCTCAAGTGATAAGCTTGATTTGCAGGAAGTGGGATTCACACACTTGTCTGATGAGAAAATAAAACACCACACACATCTGGAAGTTACCACCATTGTCTCCTTATTATCCATTTTTTGCCCCAAAGGATCTTGATACTTGCTTGTTGTTTCCCTACTAAACAAGCTCACTTCCTTATGGGTTTGGTAAGTGTTTGGTTGCAAATTCCAAGTTGCCTATCCTCTTGGCAGAGGTGAAATGCTACTGGTTCGGGCAAACCGGCTGTAAAAAAAATGCTACTGGTTCAGGAGAACCAGTTTTTCTAATGATCAGCTGTGATGAGCAATTTATATTAGCTAGAAAGCAGGATTCCCCTCTTTCGCTGTTTGCTTACCTTTGCAGGCGCATTCTGCGCATGCATAGAAGTTCCTGCGCATGCATGGATGTGGTTCGCGCTCGCTCACATTGCTACTGAACCGGTAGCAAAGGCAAGTGGATTTCACCCCTGCCTTTTGCTAAAGTGCACTGGCTGAAACTGAACTAGCTAATCATCAAATCAGCCCCTCCCTATCAGACCAAATGTTGGGATGTAGACCTAAGCCAAGAAAAATGCACAATCCACCACAATCCATTAAACACCCCCAAACCCAGATTTGGTTCCACACCCCACTAGGATCACAAGCTCCCATTTAATAGTGTTCTTTCTGAAGGGTGATCACTATTACTGAGTTTTGCTAATTATGTTTAACAATAATGAGGAAAAATATACAACTTTAAATTCAAAAAGGAGACTAAAGAAGCATTTACTTTTGTTTTTGCATAATGAATATGAAAAGCAATTTTTAAAATTAATTTTGGAAGTTTCTATTTTTTTCCTATTTTTAAAAAATAATTCTGCAACTTTTAATTTTTGTTTAAGAGACAGTGAATAAAAATATTCTAGACAAATATTATCTTGCATAGTTGTATGAAAGAAGGAACATCCATTATTCTTATCCCTGTCTTATCCCTATCCAAAGCACTTTTGTCTGCATTCAAGAAACAAAGCAAGGATATTCTATACTATACTTCCGAAACAAATACTAATTTAGGAAACATCAAGAAAATAACAATGTATAGATTCGTCCCAAGCTCAAACAATGAGTGTATGAAAACATAGCTTTAAATTCATTTCTAAGATTTGGTTTGCATGAAATGTAATTCAAGGTCTCAATGCAAATGAACATTTTGCAACATTAACCACACTTACTGCAATATAATAAACTTTAGCTTTTTCTACCAGCTTCCAGTTCTTCTCCATATCAAGATGTTTTTCTTTCTTATAGCAATTAGCAGCAGCCAAGTTAGCAATCAGAGACCTAAAAAAAAATCATGAAAACAAGTCAGCTTTCTAATCCTCTCACAGAATAGCTACAATTTCTCTACTACCCCTTAATTATTTAATCAACAAAGTTATGAAATATCAGTGGAGCCCATGCTATGTACTCTAAGATGCTACCTAACCTTTCTGCTCTGCGCTGCCCTCCCATTTTTTCAAATAATATGTATAAGCATTAGCAGACTGCACACTCACTCCCAGTGTGTTGTATTTAATTGTTGTTTTCTCTAATAGTCCACTTGGGTGGCTGAGTGTTTAATACTATATGGAAGGATACCCCAAAGAACCTAATGACTGATAACACTGGAGGAAATGTAAAGGGTTTTGCAATTAAAAGTGGAAAAAGCATTAAAATATCAAAGAGCCTGACTAGTTTGCTTCCAGAATATAAAGTGTATTGGGGATACGGGAGGGGGAGGGGAATCAATGGAAAAGAATCTTAGAGGGTGGATTTTCCCTCACTGCGATCTTCAGGGTTATGATTGCATTTTTGTGTTAGTCATCTTGCACTCATCTATCTATCTATCTATCTATCTATCTATCTATCTATCTATCTATCTATCTATCTATCTATCTATCTATCTATCTATCTATC